TTTCTCTTTTTTTCCCTCTTGTTACTTGCAATATTCTGTCTTCTCTCCCTGAGATACTGGATTTAGTCTAAAGTAGTTGACTCATTTTACAGTTTGGATTTAAGTCTAAGATAGTTGGCTGGAAGAATGAGTGCACCAAACCTTACTAGACTTATGAAAAAGACCTCCTCTGCACCCTCTGTGGGAACATCTAGTCCAACAACCCAGGGATCTATTGAAACAATGTTGCAGCATGAAAAAATAAGCACTGCTCAAAATGAGATGCAAACTACATTAAAATCGATTCAGGAATCAATGCAAAAAAATCATGAAGAGACAAAAAGTAAATTTAATAAACTAAGTGAAGAAATTTTGGATGTAAAGACACAATTTGAAGTTCATCACCAAATGTTGCTTAAAAATGAACAAAGAATTTTAGAAAATGGAAAATAAATCAGAAGATACTAATTAAAAAAATGGAAATACTACTGCAAGAAAATGAGAAATTAGAACAAGAAAATCAAAACATTGAAGGTACGGTGGCAATCCTAGAAATGGAAAAAGTGGAACACTACTTAAGATTTCAAAATATCCCTGAAGATAGAGAAGAAAATATAGCAGTGCTGATCATTGAACTCTTGGCAGAGGCCTTGAAAGCTGATAGAGCAGAGATGCAAATGGAGATAGATGAAGTATTTTGAATCAAATTCAAGCTACGCAAGGAGACTTAAACTACCCAGAGAAGTGCACGTGAGATTCATAAAGAAAACAACATGAGATGAAATATTGAGGAAAGTTCAAAAGGAACCATTACAATATAAGAATAAAGAAATTATGGTTTTAAAGCAGATACCTAAGAGAGTAAGAGATACCTGAAGACATTACTGTTGTGGAAAAAACCACGATACTTACATCAGAAGACAAGACCACGAAGGGTTGGAGAAAACAGGCTTTATTTGTGCACAATGGTTCAGAACATTCACATGACAAATTCTGAACCTTGAGCTATTCTCAGGGAGTAATTCTTATAGCATTAACCACCCACGCCTTAGCCTTAGGGTGGCTCTTATCTACCTTTGACACACTAAAACAGAGAAGTTTATATCTTGAAGCTACATAAGTAAAAGGAGAAGTTCACACAAACGGTTGTCTTACCACACCTTTCTGCACGGGTGCTATCTTACAACATCTGTGACTTTTAGTTGACACTGACACTTCTTGTAAAATGGTTTCTACATAGCATGAACACATCTCTATAATTATGACACACAGATTATATGATTTAGGTTACATTGCACAGCCAAACTTAATATTATCTATTAACTATTATCAGCAACAAGCATTTCTATTAAGATATAGATATATTTTGATGAACTTTGCCTGCCCACCTCATTACCACTTTTTAATGACAAAGCTGATTGCAAAAGGCATAAACTTTAGATGGTTAATGCCAGAAGGGATTTTAATCAACTGGAATAATACAAGATACTGACTGGATTCAATCTGGAAAGCAGAAGATTTTGAGGAAAAAACCAGAGCATTCCTAGGTGAAGGAGCGCAACATCGACAAGAGGAAACAAAGGAACAGAAACAAATGGAAGAGACATCTGAAGAAGCAACTACACAATCAGGAGAACAGAAAGAGAAATTTGAGCAAGAGAGTGAAGGAGCGGCTAGAGAACAGAGAATCACAGGATCCACTAGATCAGTGGTTCTCAACCTTTTTAATGCCGCGACCCCCAACCGGTCGTAAGTTGAGGACTACTCAACTGGTGCAGCACCGTTTGCAGAATGGGACTTTTGGCGGGCTCAGCAGGGCAGAGACAGCCTGGACAATTCCTATTGGCTTTTGAAAGCCAATAGAATTAGACTCTATTCAAGAGAGTCTATTCTATTGGCTTTCAAAAGCCAATAGAATAAAAGGGAGTAGCACAGCTAAGGAAAAGGGGGGAAAAAATGGCGGACTGCGTTGTTTGGCGACCCCCGTGAAATGGTCGTTCGACCCCAAATGGGGTCCCGACCCACAGGTTGAGAACCACTGCACTAGATCTAAACATAAATAACTGAAATGGAGAAAGAAAACGGATTTTTTTTTCAGTGAACGTAAATGGACTAAACTCCCCATCAAAAAGAAATAAAATTTTTAGGAAACTGCAGAAATTAAATATAGACATAGTTTGCTTGCAAGAGACACATATAAAAAAACAATTTCATAAGCTTTTGGAATACCCCAAAATTGGGAAACTTTATCATGCATCAGCGCAACAAAAAAAAAGAGGTGTTGCTGTATATATTAAAGAGACAATAGACTCTAAAATGATCTATTCAGATGAAGACGGAAGAATTGTGATGGAAGAAATATATTTACATCAAAAATAAATATTGTTGGTAGTAATTTATGCACCAAATAATAACCAAAGAGAATTTTATCAAAAGGTACACAGAAAAATAATAGAACTGGAGTATCAAAATATTTGTTTAGTAGGAGATTTTAATGCAATTGTGGATGGGACAATAGACTATAAAAGCAGAAAAACAAGAAAAACTGAAAGAAGAAGACCACCTAAGACTTTTTTCAACATGATAGAAGAGATTGGAGTACAAGACGTTTAGAGGGAAATTAATCCAGGAAAATTACAATATACATTTTATTCAAATAGTCAAAAATCCTGGTCTAGAATCGATATGATTTGGATGACATTGGAACTGAGGATGAACACGCAGGAAATTGAGATAGAACCAGGTACATAGGCAGATCATAACCCTTTAAAAGTGATGTGAAGAAGAACACACAAAAAAAACCAAGATGGACTTTGAACCAATCGAATTAAAAGAAAGAGAATTTATAGAATTGGCAACAAAAGAAATTGAGTTTTTCTTCAAAGAAAACAAAAAAGAAGATACAACATTACCAAATATATGGGATACAGCTAAAGCATATTTTAGAGGCATAGCTACAACATATGTGGCAAAGAAAAATAAACAGAAAAGACAGCAGTTGTTGTTGTTAATTGCGAAGTCGTGTCCGACCCATCGCGACCCCATGGACAACGTTCCTCCAGGCCTTCCTGTCCTCTCCCATCTTCTGGAGTCCATTGAAGCTCACACCTCCTGCTTCAGTGACTCCATCCAGCCATCTCATTCTCTGTCGTCCCATTCTTCTATTGCCCTCAATCTTTCCCAGCATTAGGCCCTTTTCCAGTGAGTCCTTCCTTCTCATTAGGTGGCCAAAGTATTTGAGTTTCAACTTCAGGATCTGGCCTTCTAAAGAGCAGTCGGGGTTGATCTCTTCTAGGACTGACCGGTTTGAACGCCTTGCAGTCCAAGGGACTCGCAGGAGTCTTCTCCAGCACCATAGTTCAAAGGCCTCAATTCTTTGGCGCTCAGCCTTTCTTATGGTCCAACTTTCACAGCCATACATTGCAACTGGGAAAACCATGGCCTGGACTATACGCACTTTTGTTGGCAGGGTGATGTCTCTGCTTTTTAGTATGCTGTCTAGATTTGCCATAGCTTTCCTCCCCAGGAGCAAGCGTCTTTTAATTTCTTGGCTGCAGTCCCCATCTGAGGTGATCTTGGAGCCCAGAAAAATAAAATCTGTCACTACCTCCATTTCTTCCCCATCTATTTGCCAGGAATTGAGAGGGCCGGATGCCATGATTTTGGTTTTCTTAATGTTGAGTTTCAAGCCAACTTTTGCACTCTCCTTCTTCACCCGCATCAAGAGGCTCTTTAGTTCCTCTTCACTTTCTGCCATTAGAGTGGTATCATCTGCAAAGACAGCAGTATGTACTACTAAAAGAAAAATTAGAAAAATTAGAATCAGAACTACAAATAAACCTGCAAAAGAAGATGAAAATGTTACAAGATGCTAAAGGAAATGGAGGATTTGGCCTTCCAGAGCACCCATATTAACATGGGTAAAAGAATGGATAATTCTTAAAAATAAAAGGAGAGACAGATATAACAATTGGGGTGGCACGCCTTTTTATGGTATGGGAAAAATAAAGTTCATAAATATTTCCAAAATCACTATATAAGAAATGCATTGTTAACAACATGGGGAAAAATAAAAAGCAAAATATATTTGAAAATTCCAGGGTGGTTGTCAACAATCAAAGCATTTGTACATCCAAATTTAGTGGACTCTGAAAATATCTGGACATACAGAGATATTCTAAACTCTGAACAACACTTAAAATTTAAACAAGAAATGGAAAATCAGGGCATCAACTTATCATGGTGGACACATTTACAAATACGAACTAGATATGATAAAGATGTTAAAATGTATGGGTTTCATAAGGAACAAACTGTGTATGATAAGATTTTGTTAACTTCGGATGAGAAACTAATTAAGAAAATGTATAATTTTTTATTAACTTTGGAAACGGAAAACGAACAAGTTAAAGAAACAATTATAAGATGGGTGAAAAATTTTGGATATAATATAGAATTAGAAAGATGGCAAAACGTATGGGAAAGAAATATAAATTGACAAGGTCAACTTCCTATAAAGAAAACTTATATAAAATTTATTTATTTATTTATTTATTTATTTATTTATTTATGAGACTTATATACCGCTTTAAGTGCAAGCACTCTCTAAGCGGTGTACACCAGTAAGCAATGTATATATATATATTTACATTGCCCCCAACAATCTGGGTCCTCATTTTACCTACCCCGGAAGGATGGAACGCTGAGTCAACCTTGAGCCGGTGAGATTTGAACCGCTGACCTGCTGAACACAGTCAGCTAAAGTGGCCTGCAGTACTGCACTCTAACTGCTGCGCCTCCTTGGCTATGTTTTATAGATGGCACTTGCCACCAGCAGGACTAGTGAAAATGTTTAAACATATGTCAGATAGATGTTGGAAATGTAAACACAAGTCAAGCACATATTATCATGTTTGGTGGACGTGATAAAGCAAAGAACTATTGGAAAAAGATACATACTTGGTTAAAAAAGATGTTAGGAGAACATGTTGATCTTAAACCTGAACTTTTTTTTTTATTAGGCATAATGACAGAAAAGACTAATAAACAAAGCTTATATTTGACTTTGCATGTCACAACAGAGGCAAGAATTACATTTGTGCAATACTGGAAGAATGAAGGAATACCAGCAGATGAAGAAATAATAAAAAAATACTAGAATGAGCAGAGACAGATTGACTATGAGATTGAAAGAAAAGGAAGAAACGGACTATTATCAAACCTGGGATTTATTTTACTATTGGCTAGATCAGTGGTTCTTAACCTTTTTGAACAAATCGCCCCCTTGAGCCAATGAGGAAGTTGTCATCGCCCCCCTCCCCCAACATAACCTCTCAATCATAGGAAATAATTCTTCAATTTATGCAAACTCCCCTTGTTTTGTTTTCTTTAAAATTGTCATCAGGACATATCGATGCAAATAATCCGTCACTTTATTCCCAAACTTTGTGATACATGTATTTCATTATTATCTTATTTATTCAAGACACTTAAATGTAATGCCCACTGAAAACAAAATTCAATGGCAAGAAAGTGAAATGCCCGAAAAGAAAAACAGTAACATTTAATGATTGAATTACAAGTGAAATTTAAGATGCAAAAAGAAATATAAAAAGGGTAGAGGCTGCTGCGCAATGTGCATGAAGATAAGCGATGCGTATTCACGTATGTACGGTGTTCTGCACTGAAGCGAGCTGGAGGAACATTTGAAAAGACAATTCAATCCACTAAGAGCGAGCGATCTGATGTTTTTGTACGACAGATATGCAGCCATTCCCTGTACGAAAACGTCTCAAACGTGTCCCCAAAACGTCTCACTCCATCGCCCCCATATTGCCCCCTTTTCGTTCCTTCGCCCCCCTGAAAAATGAAATTGCCCCCTGGGGGGCAATATTGCCCAGGTTAAGAACCACTGGGCTAGACCAGTGATGGCGAACCTTTTAGAGACCGAGTGCCCCAAAATTGGCCCCGCCCCCGCTCCACCCCCTGCCCCGCCCCTGCCCCGCCCCCCATCCCGCCTGCCCGTAGGGCCACTCACCACCTCCAGGGCCTGCCGCACATCGCTCAGACAGCCCAGCAGCACCATGGTGGCCACGCCCTCTGCCCACCCCCTGTAGCATCAACTGTATGCGATGAGGCGTGAGGGTAGAGTCTTGTCTACACTGCCTGGCTGCCATATCCTTGGCTGCGCTGCTCCGTGTGGGCCACGTTTGGGGGTGACTTTCCTCTGGGGGGCTGCTGGTGAGGACGGGGTCACGGGGGGAGGCGCGGCTGGGGCAATGGCACGTGTGCCCACAGAGAGGGCTCCGAGTGCCGCCTCTGGCACCCGTGCCATAGGTTCGCCACCACTGGGCTAGACGCTAGAATAAAGGATTAGGAAATAAATATGTATTAGCATATGTAAACTCAGACAGTACATTGGCTGAAAAATTATTATTGTTTGTATGGAAAAAAATGAATAAAAAGCTTATAACAAAAAAAAAAAGCTTTTCCCCCAACTTCCTACCTCGCTCTCCCTCCTTCTGCCTTGAAAAAAGAAAATAAAATCTCCTTCCCCCAGTCAATCTCCTCTTCCCCTTTAAAAAAATCCCTCCCCAAGAGCCCTGCCCCGCCATCAGCCACCACAGAGGCCACCGGAGCTCCCAACCTTTCTGCCAAATCCTCAGAGCCCCAGCAAAGCCTCCCAGCCAGCGCTGATCCCTCCAACTCCCCTCTCCGCTACGCTACCCCCTCCCACCAGCACCTCCAGCCTCGCAGCCACGAGGCATCCCTTCCAACGGGACGGCCCCCGCCAGCCCATGTGGTATCGGAATGGCCGGCAGCAGCGTGTTAGTGCTGGCAATCTCTCTGTTATGTATTGATGTTAATTACTTGGAAACTGTTGGAAACGGTGAAACGGCTGCACCTGTTTAAACTCCAGACTGACTGTCTACATGCTCATTAGTTTATGTTTAAGTGGGAAACACTGCTTCAGTTCTATTGGCCGCCACCTAGTGGTCATCTGTATAAATAGTGGTTAAGCGGCAGTTAGTGCCACTTCTGTGTTAACTTAATAAAAGAGTTGTTGTTTGCACCAATTGCCTCATCGATGCCTCACCGATCCCGAAACATAACATTCTCCCCCTCCCATCACCCCTTCCTGAGCATGGGGGAAGAAAACAGATGAGAAGACGAAGGAAGGAACGGAGGGAGGGAGGAAGGAATGGAGCAATGGAGGGTGGGAGGAAAACAGTGAGAAAGAAACAAAGGGAGGAGGGGAGGGAGGAAGGGAGGGAGGAAGGAAGGAAGGATGGGAGGAAGGAGGGAAAAAAGGAGGGAGAAAGGAAGGAACAGGGAGGAAGGAACGGAGGGTGAGAGGAAGGAAGGAATGGAGGGAGCAAGGAATGGAGGGAAAAGAAAGAGAGGGAGGAAGGAACAGGGAGGAAGGAACGGAGGGTGAGAGGAAGGAAGGAATGAAGGGAGCAAGGAATGGAGGGAAAAGGGAGGGAGGGAGGAACAGAGGGAGGAAGGATCAGGGAGGAAGGAACGGAGGGTGAGAGGAAGAAAGGAAGGGATGAAGGGAAAAAGGGAGGGAGGAAGGAAGGAATGGAGGGAGCAAGGAATGGAGGGAAAAGGGAGGGAGGGAGGAAGGAATGGAGGGTGAGAGGAAGGAAGGAATGGAGGGAACAAGGAATGGAGGGAAAAGAAAGGGAGGGAGGAAGGAACAGGGAGGAAGGAACGGAGGGTGAGAGGAAGGAAGGAATGGAGGGAGCAAGGAATGGAGGGGAAAGAGAGGGAGGGAAGAAGGAACAGAGGGAGGAAGGATCAGGGAGGAAGGAACGGAGGGTGAGAGGAAGAAAGGAAGGGATGGAGGGAAAAAGGGAGGGAGGGAGGAAGGAAGGAACAGAGGAAAGAAAGAACGGAGGGAGGGAGGGAGGAACAGAGGAGGGAGAGTGGGAGGGACCATGTCCCAGCACTCACCCAGTCCCACCCTCCTCCACTGGAGACCCTCAGATCTGCCCAAGTCCTGCCCAGGCACCCCTGACACAAGTGATGCAGAGCTGGCCACGCCCACCCAGTAGGCCACGCCTATCCCGGCCACACACCCCATCCCCCCCAGGGCAACCACAAGGCTGATGCGACCCTCAATGAAATTGACGTTACACCCCTGTATTAGAGCAATTGTTGTTGTAATTTTCATCCACCACTAGATGTCAGCACCAGTTCATTTTTTTTTCAGTTTTCAAAATAAAGAGTTATCTTCTATTTTCATAGTTTAAAATGAAGATCTTAAGAGATGTTAAGCAGATAACAAACTTATCCAGATTTAGGTGTTATATTCATGTCATTTCAGTATATTTCTCCCCCATAAAATGTTTAATTCTCCGCTTCTGTCTTCAGAAGGGTGGAACAAAGGTCCCTCGCCTCACTTTCGGAGGTTTTTTTTTCTTCTTGAGTTTTTTTTTTCCAGGAAATTAGTTAATATGTAGAATAGAGAGAATTGATGTCCTTTCCCAGATCCAAGCACACTGTTTACAATAGGGCTTTTGGACTTTGGTTGCTAGTAGCTTCGGCTAGACCAGAGGTCGGCAACCTTAAACACTCAAACAGCCGTTTGGACCGTTTCCCACAGCAAAGAAAACACCGGGAGCCCCAAAACCCTTTTGACATCTAAAATGATGATAACACTGCATACATCGTTTTTTACCTTTGTGCTATGTATAAAAAAATGTATAGTGTGTTGCATTTATGAAATCAATGAACTGCTACAAAGAAAACCAATTTTTATTTCTGCATGCAACAAAAACATTTTGAACTCCCAAAAAAAAAAGACGCAGAGTCGAAGGTTACTTTCAAATAAAATACTCAATGTCTATTTGAGTCCTCCTTGCATTTATGAAATAAAAAGCCGGTGCAAGCTATAAAAACTACAACTAGAAAAATAGAAAAGAAAAAAAATGCGGGGGGGGGGGAGAAAAGGACAGGAGAAAGAGGGGGAAAAAAAACTTTCTCCTTCATCCCAACAGGTAAAAACAATTTTGGTAGATTGTCTACCATCTTTAAATACAGCATAATTATCCCCATACCTCCTCATCTCTTAATTAAAAAAATACATCAAAATATTTCATTAAATGTTCTTTACTAAAAGTCCAGTAAGGACAACAACATATATTCATATTCTCTCTCTCTCTCTCTCTCTCTCTCTCTCTCTCTCTCTCTCTCTCTCTCTCTCTCTCCTCTCTCTCTCTCTCCCCTTTCTCCTCCCCCTCTCCCTCCCTCTCCCTCTCCCTCTCCCTCCCTCTCTTTCTCTCCCTCTCTCTCTTCCCTCTCCCTCCCTCTCTCCCTCTCCTTTTTCTCTCTCCCTCTCCCTCCCTCCCTCCCCCCCTCTCTCTTCCTCTCCCTCCTCCTCTCCCTCCTCTCTCCCTCTCCCTCCCTCTCCTCTCCCTCCCCCCTCTCCCTCTCTCTCTTTCCCCTCCCTCCCTCTCTCCTCTCCTCTCTCCCTCTCCCTCCCTCCCTCCCTCCCTCCCCCCCTCTCTCTTCCTCTCCCTCCTCCTCCCCTCCCTCTCTCTCCTCTCCCTCTCTCTCCCCTCCTCTCCCCTCTCCCTCCCTCCCTCTCCCTCTCCCTCTCCCCCTGCCTCCCTCTCTCTCCCTCCCTCTCCCTCCCTCTCTTTCTCTCCCTCCCTCTCCCCCCTCTCTCTCCCTCCCTCTCCCCTCTCTCTCTTTCTCCCCATTCACACACAGGTTTTTCTATCTTGCTCTCGCAGGGATCGAGAGGAGGAGGAACCGGCCCAAACGGAATGGGACAAATGAACACGGCTGCCTTAAGCTGCATCTCAGGCACCCCACCAGGCTGACTGAGGACATTCTTATTATGCTGGGTCTCCACCGGCGCTCCTCTCCTGCCCTTGGTCTGCCAGTCCTCTTCCCCCACTCAGTGCGTGTGTGTGTGTGTGTGTGTGTGTGTGTGTGTGTGTGTGTGTGAAAGAGAGAGACACACACACACAGAGAGAGAGAGAGAGAGAGAGAGAGAGGCACTTCTGTTTCTCTCCCCCTCCCTCCCTCTCCCCCCCTCTCTCTCCAATCATGATCTCCCCTCCCCAGCCAGCCATCATCGCTGATCTTCTCCTCACCGGGGCAGACAGCCTCACGCTCTCCTCCTCCCCCTCCTCCTCCTCGTCCTCTGCGGTCAATCGCCTACTAGTGGCTTGGGCGCTCTGCTCCGTCCCAGTTGAAGAAAGTGGAGGCGCAGCAGAAAGCAGAAACTTGGTGGGATGAAACCCACAAATGGAATATGCAGCTAGAGGGATTTCAGTTATGCTTAAAAAATAGATCTAGTAAAACAGGAGACAAAGTTGCACTATATATAAAAAATAACTACATCTCTACAGAAATAGAGCACAACAATGATGAGATCAAGAAGAGACTGGACTGCCATCTGTCAGAAATGGTGTAGGGACTCCTGCTTGAACAGGGGGTTGGACTAGATGACCTCCAAGGTCCCTTCCAACTCTGTTATTCTATTCTATTCTATTCTATTCTATTCTATTCTATTCTATTCTTATCATTACTCTAATTCTATTCTATTCTATACTATCGACAAACCAACCAAATAGAGGAAATAAAATGAACTTTTTGCTAGTCAGGAAATAAATGAACTTTTTGCTAGTCAGTTAACTAAGGTATGTAGGAAGCGCATCACAATAGTAATGGGGGACTTTAATTACCCTGACATGAACTGGGAGACAAACTCTGCACCAAAACAGATTCCTGACTAACCTAGCAGACAATTCTCTCTCCCCAAAAGTAGAGAAGGGAACCAATGGATCAGCCATACTGGACTTATGAAATGACAGAAGGGGTTGAAGCCACAGGAACCTTGGGGGGGGGGAGTGATCATGCAGGATTGGAATTCAACATTATGCAAGCACAAGCAATAGAATATAGCCCAACTAGAGTCTTTGACTTTTAAGAGAGCTGATTTCAATAAACTTAGAGAGAGCTTGGGAAGGATTCCATGGATGAGAATTCTCAAGGTAAAAACAACCCAAGAAGGTTGGGAGACTTTGAAAAGTGACATTCTAAAAGCCCAGTCTAGCACAATACCAGCAAAGAAGAAAAATAACAGCTCTCAAAAGAAACCAGCCTGGTTGCATAAAGAAGTGTCTGATAATGAAGCAATGAATCTGCCAACAGCTAGAAGCAAACAAAGTCATAACCAAAAGTCAACATGGGCTTGTCGAAACCAGATCATGCCAGACAAAACCTACTGCTAGATGACCTCCAAGGTCCCATCCCACTCTGTTAGTCTGTTCCCTTCTGTTTTTCTACTCTAGCCCCCTGCTCAGAGAGGAGACCCTACACCCATTCCAGACAAAGGGCTGTCCAGTCTCCTCTTAAAAACCTCCAGGGATGGAGCACCCACAACTTCCGGAGGGAAGCCTTTAATCTGGTTAAGTGTTCTCACTAGCTAGAAATGCCTCCTTAGATCTCCATCTGAGGATCCCTCCCTCCCTTCTTTCTTTCTTTCTTTCTTTCTTTCTTTCTTTCTTTCTTTCTTTCTTTCTTTCTTTCTTTCTTTCTTTCTTTCCTCCCTCCCTTCGTAGCCCAAGAGGGGAAGAGGGGAGGGCGAGAGATTGGCAGCGCTGCCCATGGCCATGGCTTTCCCACGCGGGGAGGAGCGGGAGGTGGGAGGCGGGCCGAGGGCGGGGACCGTCCCTATAAAAACGAAACCTTGGCGTAGCGGGGTCCGGCGGGCGGGCGGCCGGGCCATGGAGGCGGCGGGGACGCTGGCGGCGGGCGCGGCGCTCCTGCTGGGGCTCTACGCGCTGCTCTACTACACGTTGGTGGCGGCCACCCGGTGCCGGAACGCGGTCAGCCTGCGGGGCAAGACGGTTCTCATCACAGGTAGCTCCGGGGACGCTGCGCTCCCATCCGTGGGGGGGGGGTGTCGAGGCTGGGGCGGGGGGCGTGGCCTTTCTTATTAAATAACCCCCCCACCCCCACCTCAGTGGCTCCAGGCCAGATCAAAATTCTGGAATCAAAGCGCCGCTCGAAAGTCCAAGCGAAATGCGGGTCGCGGGTTAACCATAACCCAGGTTCTCCCCCATCCAGGTGGACCCAAAGGTTCCTTTGACCAAACCGGGAAAGTCCATCCCCAAAAGCTCCTTTGGAATAAAGCAGGGGATCGTGGTGGGAGTAGAGTAGAGTAGAGTAGAGTAGGAAGGGACCTTGGAGGTCTTCTAGTCCAGCCCCCTGCTCACGCAGGAGAACCTATAGCAGGTTTTTCATGCCTAAGGCAGGACTAGAACTCACGGCCAGAGTCACCCAGCTGGCTTTCGTGCCTAAGGCGATTGGTGATTGGCTTGAGTCACCCAGCCGGAGTAGAATTTATCGTTTCCTGGTTTCCACTCTAGACAATTTTCCCTCTCTGAAACTCGCAAAATGTATATTGTATATGAAGTGAACAGGTTGAAGAGAAATCTGAGATTGTGGTTGGATGGAATTGATCCCATCCTGAAAAAGAACGCGGTCATTTTAAAGAATAAAAGGCAAGAGAAGAAATGGATTCTTTGCCAAGAAAGAAACGCAAAGAGAGACCGGGTACATAGTTATTGTTTTAGCTCTGTTTCCTTCCTTCCTTCCTTCCTTCCTTCCTTCCTTCCTTCCTTCCTTCCTTCCTTCCTTCCTTCCTTCCTTCCTTCCTTCCTTCCTCCCTGCACTCTTTTTTAATGTTTTATTGATGTTCTAATTTTACATTTAAGTATTTAAAAAGCAATGGGGCGGCTGAGTTAATCGATAATTCAATGACATACAAGTATCTTTAGGCCAAGCCTCAAACTACCACATTAAATATTTCCTCTCTTTTCCCCTTAGTATTTACGGTCACATGTTTAAACTAATACAATTCTTATTATATCAATTAAATAAAAATAACATTCTTACATTTATCAATAATTTTTAGCTTATACATATCCTGCTATTATTTTAGCATTCAGTCTTTATAGACAATCAATGTCCTAATTAATTTTTTCCCAATTTTTAGTTTCCCATTAATATTTAAATTTAATATTTATAATTTCCAAGTTTTAAGTAACCAAAGTTCCCTTTATCACAATTCATCACAAAGTCTAATATTCAGGATACACGTCTTATCTATTTAAATATATTCTATTTCTCACCATCTTACATCATCTAATTAATAATACAGTATAACATTCTTATTTTCTATTAATTTCCAAATGTCTTGAATTTAGTAACCAAAATTTCTCTTGTTTCAACATCAAATACTTCCTCTCTTTTTCTCTTAATGTCTACTATCTCATATGTAAGCTAGTACAGTTCTTATTATATCAGCTAAGTAAAAACATGTTTGTGACATTTATCAATAAATTTTAGCTTATGTATATCTTAATTACTTTTACATTCAACCTTTATAAACAAATCAATATTCAAATGTAACTTTTAATATTTATACCTCCAAGTTTTAAATGACCAAAATTTTCTTTATCTCAGTTAATAACAGAATCTAGTATTCAAAGTACACATCTTGTCTATTTGAGTGTATTCAATTTTGGTCCTCACTATTAAGTCAAAACCCCCATTTTCTTCAGCCTTATTCTAGCTTTCTTTTTTTGCCGACTCGCCTTCCATATCCGTGCTTTTAAATCATCAAATAGATCTCCCTCTGTTATTATATATATTGTTTGAGATAAAAGAGGCCATCCAGTCGCCATTTTTTTGGAAGGGCTAACAAATCGTCTCTCTATTTTTCCATCTCAACAAAGTTGTCCTGAAATGTTTATCTTCCCTTCAGTCTGTTCTTCTTCTTGACCCTCAGGTTTCTTCTGGTTTATATAGAGCGTCTTTTCCATTTTCAGTGTTGTCAGTCCCTTTTCTGGGTTTTCCATTTCACCCAGTCCTTCCTCTCTTTTGGTCAACTGGGACCAAATTTCTGAGAGATCCTGAAACTGAGCACCAGGAACTTGCCCCTCTTCCAAGTAGCCACTGGAATAGAACTACAGGTAGTCCTCAACTTATGACCAAAATTGAGCCCAAAATTTCCATGGCTATGCAAGAGAGTTGTTAAGTGAGTTTTGCCCCACTTTATGACCTTTCCTGCTACAGTTGTTAAGTGAATCATTGCTGTTAAATTAGTAACACAGTTGTTAAGTGACTCTGGTTTCCCCCATTGACTTCGCTCAACAGTAGGTTGCACAAGGGGATCATGTGACCCCGGGACACTGTAACCATCATAAATATGAGTCAGTTGCCAAGCATCTGAATTTTGATCATGGACCACCATGCTGCAATGTTCATAAGTGTGAAAAACAGTCAGAAGTCACTTTTTTCTGTGCCATCGGTCATTAAATGAATCAAGCTATTTTCCAAAGCATCTGAAGGCAGGACAAGAAGCAACGGGTGGAAACTAATCAAGGAGAGAAGCAACCTGGAACTAAGGAGAAACTTCCTGACAGTGAGGACAATTAACCAGTGGAACCACCTGCCTCCAGAAGCAGTAAATGCTGCAACACTGGAAGTTCTTAAGAAGAGACTGGACAGCCATTTGTCCGAAATGGTGTAGGGTTTCCTGCCTGAGCAGGGGGTTGGACTAGATGACCTCCAAGGTCCCTTCCAACTTTACTACTACTACTACTACTACTACTATTATTATTATTATTATTGTAAGTCGAGGGATATCTGTAGTATTTCCAGAGTCCGCAGGAATAGGTAAGTTTTAACTTAAAACTGTTTTACAGTCTTCCAATTGGCTTTGTTTATGCCCTGCTAAGTAACTCTATTTGTCCCCAGATCAGAGTGAGAAAAGACGATTAGTTAGTTCCCCTCATCCATGCATTAATGCATGTTTGGCCTTCAAATCCTTTTGTAACTTGTGTTAGTAAAGTGACAGCCTGCAGAGCAAATGTTGGGAGACTTGCGCCATCTTCTGGTCTGACAGAAGCTTTGCATCCCATTTTTTGAAATCCCTTTCATTTTTTAATTTTTTTTATTACTAAACTTATTTGCCACCCATATCACTACAAAGTGGCCCTTTCAAAGACCCAGTGCTTTTTTATTAAAAAAAAAAAGGTGCCGGAACTCACACACCCGCCTTGCCTACCCTACAAGCTTCCATGCAAAAAAGGTGCCGGAACTCCGTTCTGGGCCTTCCATGAGAAAAAAAGCCCTGCAAAGACCTAAAGGGACTCCAGGCATCTCAGTCAGGAATGCTGAACTGTACTTCAACCATCCCATGGATTGTTGTATGTCAGGATTAGGTAAAAACCACACAACAGGAAAAAATCAGTGTTCAATTTTCATATGTTTGAAATATTAGAACTCTGAAAAAATTTCCTTGCTGTTGTACCTTCAAACTAAAATAATGGTTGTAAGTCGAGGTCTATTTGTATTATCCCTGAATAGTTTTAAGCTATTTTTTGTTGTTGATATGAGACTGCTCTGAAAGAGTTGTGAAAATCATACCCTCTGCCAGGGTTTCTCAACTTTAAGATGCTTTTAATTCTGGGAGTTGAAGTCAACCCATCTTAAAGTTGCCAAGATTGAGAAACACTGCCACACAAGTGCTTCACTGTGTGATGCCACAAAAACTGCAGGCAGACAAATGCAGGCCCAGCTCCTGGGTCCCCATCAACGGCTGGGCGATCTCAGTGAATCCTCCTTTCTCTGGTCTTTCCTAGGTGCAAATACAGGGATTGGGAAGGCCACAGCGGTGGATCTGGCCCGGAGAGGCGCCCGTGTCATTCTGGCATGCCGCGACAAAGCAAGAGGAGAATCGGCTGTGCGTGACATCAGACGGGTAAGCGCCTGCCGTGTGGTTCTCTCCTTCCCTCCGTTCTTCTGCATCCAGGTCTTTTCCTGATGGTTTTTATTTATTCATTTAGCGCATGGCATCTACAGAGTTCATCCAATCCCTTATATGCAATGCAGATAAAATGCACTATACAGGCAGATGCAAATGTAAGTTTAAAGTATGAAGAAATATGTGTATATCAAATAAGTGGTCAGTACAATAAATATAAAATATTAAGTTAAAGTAAAACCATGATAAAATCGCCATAATATGGCACTATAGAACAGACATGTCAAACACAAGGCCCAGGGGCCGGATACAGCCTGCGAAGTGGTTTCATGTGGCCTGTAAAGCCATCCTGGAAACAGTGAGGGAACGGCCCCCTCTGCCTTGGCCCTGGCCCAGGCCGGCCTGGAGCCAATGTACAATTTTCTGGTGGCCATCTTGGCGCTTGCCCCGGTCCCCCCCCCTTCTGCCAGACACCCTCAGATCTATCCCATTCCTGCCCAGGCCCCCACAGGCACCCTTGACGCGAACGATGAAGAGCTGGCTATGCCCACCCAGTAGGCCACACCCACTCCATCCATGCCCACCCAGTAGGCTGCACCCATTCTGGCCACACCCACCTGTACCCCCAAGGGCAACCACAATGCTGATGCGGCCCTCAATGAAATTGAGTTTGACACCCCTGCTATAGAGTCACAATGGGAGAGGTGTTATACAGGTTGTCCTTGATTTACAATAGTTAATTTAGTGACTGTCCAAAGTTTGAAGGCACTTATGATCGTTTTTCACACTTAACGACCATTTCAGCATGGTCACACGATCCAAAATTAAGATGCTTGGCAACTGACTCACACATATGACGGTTGCAATGTCCCAGTGTCGTGCAATCCCCTTTTGAGACATTCTGACAAGGGAAAACAATGGGGAAGCCATATTAATAATCATGTTACCAATTTAACAACCGTAGTGATTCATTTAACAACTGTGGCAATTAAGGTCATAAAATAGGACAAAATTCACTTAACAACTGTGTCACTTAGCAACAGAAATGTTGGACTCAATTGCGGTCATAAGTCAAGGACTACCTGTGTATTTAATAGGTGGACATTACAATAAATGAGATAAAATATTAACATAGGGTAAAACCATGTTAAAATATCTATATTATGGCACCATAGAGTCAGAATGAGAGATATGTTATACTGGTAATCCTCGGCTTCCAACAGTTCATTTAGTGATTGTTCAAAGGTTCAATGGCACTGAAAAAAGTGACTTGTGACCCTTTTTCACACTTATGACCATTGCAGCATCCCTGGGGTCAGGTGATTAAAATTGGCAAGTGACTCATATTTATGACGGTCGCACCATCCTGGGGTCATGCAATCATCTTTTGCGACCTCTGACAAACAGAGTCAAGGGGGAAGCCAGATTCACTTAACCGTGTTATTAATTTAACAACTGTGGTGATTCACTTAACAACTGTGGCAAAAAGGTCGTAAAAATTGACTTAACAGCTGTCTCCCTTAGCAACAGAAATGTGGGGCTCAATTGTGGTCATAAGCCACGGACTACCTGTATATTTAATAAGTGGACAATACAATAGAAGAGATAAAATATTAAGTTAAGGTAAAACCATGATAAAATCACCATAATATGATGCCATAGAGTCAGAATGGGATGTTATAATTCGATATCTAAGGAAGCTAACCATTTATCTTGTGTTCTTTCTGAATGATGACAAAGATAATAAACAACACACACACACACACACACATTTACAGCAGTCTTTGTCATCATCCAGAATATCCGTGATATTCCTGTGTTCCTGACTATCTTGTGTTCTTTCTCTCTGGATAATGACAAAGACTGCTGAATATATATATATATTTACAAGAACACAGGAATATCCTGAGGTAAATTAAACTTCATCTGGACAGCTGCTGCACAACGTCTTGACAAGAACAAACAATAACACATATAGCCCAAGAAAGTCTCCTTAGGAAATTTCAGTTCACACCAGAAGCAGTTAAAGGGTTTTAGCTTCCTTAGATATTGAATTATAACATCCCATTGTGACTCTATGGCCATATTATGGTGATTTTATCATGGTTTTAGTCTTAATATTTTATCTTATATACATATCTCTAACTCTAACTCTAATTCTAAAATGTATAAATATAAATATACCTGTCAGGAACACAGGAACATCGTGAGGTAAATCTTAACAGCACACAGAGGACACAGAAGAAAAAGGCGGGAAAGAAGGGAAACGCCCCCTCCACACCCATGGCAACCAATCAGAGCGTAGATTGCCTCATGCAGGAGCCTGCCCTCTCCAACCAATCAGCTACACAGAATTCGAGATCCCAACACTTGCGATGCACCCTGGCACCCTGCGGACCCCCAACCATTCCCCACTGTCCGTGTTCTTTCCAGGGCGCTCCATATTTTGGGGGGCAGCTGCATTCCTGGAAGTGGTTTTGTTGGATCTCCATGATCCGTTTGGTTCTGGTTATTAAAACTCATCCATCTTAATTGCCATTCTTCACCTAGACCAGGGGCGTCAAACTCGCAACGTCACCTGACATATCATGACTTTTTTTTCCATTGCCGGCAATTGGGTGGGCCGGCAGTTTGACACCCCTGATCTAGACCATAAGACTGTGGTATGTTATTACAGAATAACTGAGTCAGAAGGGATCTCGGAGGTCTTCTAGTCCAGCCCCCTGCCGAAGGAGGAGACCCCGAACCATTTCAGACAAGTGGCTGTCCAGTCTCTTCTTAAAAGCCTCCAGTGTTGGAGCACCCGCAACGTCTGGTGGCCAGCTGTTCCACTGGCTAACTGTTCTCACTGTCAGGAAATTCCTCCTTAGTTCCAGGTTGCTTCTCTCCTTGATTAGTTTCCATCAGCTGCTTCTTGTCCGGCCTTCAGGGGCTTTGGAGAATAGCTTGACCCCCTCCTCTTCTTTGGCGCAACCCCTTAATTAAGCAAATCATTGCATTTGTTTTGTGAATCACGTGGTTTTAAGTGAATCCAGGTTCCCCATTGATTTTGCTTGTGGGAATCCTCTTGGGATGATCACAAATAGTGATCACATGACCCAGGGACACTGCCACTATCGGAAATTACACTGGTTGCCAAGCACACAAATTCTGATCACATGACCCTGGGGATGCTGGGATGGTCGAAAGTATGAGCGTAGGCATAAATCACTCTTTTCAGCAGCATTGCAATTTCAAATGGTTGCAAGTCGAGGACTGCCTGTTTTGTTTTATGACACACTACCTGGAGTGACTGTCAGGAGGTGAGCAGACATACATAGAAGGTGAGTAAACCGGGATCAGCCTTTGAAGCCACACCCGATCCCGATTCTTCTCAGGATTCCTTCTGCTCCTTTTCCAGGAAAGTGGGAACTCGGAGGTGATCCTGATGATCCTGGATCTGGCCAACCTTAATTCCGTGCGAACGTTTGCACAGACCTTCCTAAAATCGGAGCCCCGTCTGGACATCCTCATCAACAATGCCGGTGGGTGCAGAGCAGACCCCTCCTCCCGGGGTATCAGGGCGAGGAAGTGGGAATATTGTGGGGGTCTCCGGGATTTCTCTTCCTTCGGGGGTTTGGCCATAACTTCAGAAACAGCTCTCTCCTCTTTGTAGTTCCTCGTTTTTGGTATCCCGCTTTTATTATTATTTTTACAAGTAACTCAAGGCGCGAACAAATCAAACACACCTTCCTCCTCCTATTTTCCTCAAAACAACAAGCCTGTGAGGTGGGTTGGGCTGAGAGAGAATGACTGGCCCAAAGTCTTCCAGCTGGCTTTCATGCCTAAGGCAGGATTTGAATTCATAGCCTCCTGCTTTCTAGGCGTAACCACTAGACAAAACTGGATGCTTTATGACCATTATGCAGCCTGCCCATTATGGTTGTAAGCTGTAACAGTTATAAAGTGGGTTTCTGACTGCTATGATTTCCTTTGTTGAGCTAGTCATTGAGCGAACCATTTGTTCACTGTGGGGTGTTTTTGCTGAAAAGTGGACGTAAACTTTGTGTTTCGACAAAAATGTTGTAAATCCTCCACCACATGATGGTGGACCAGGTTGTAAAGTGAAGACCAGTTCCCAAGTGCCTAAAATGTGATCATGTAACACTGGGGGGTGGGAGCCGTTGCAACTTTGGAACTGGGTTGTAAGTATTTTTCTGGCATCTGTTGTAACTTCGAATGATCACGAAGTGACCCGTTGTAAACTGATGACTATCTGGAATCCACTTATTTTTTTGATAGGGGTCTTTAAGGATGGTCAAACCACTGATGGCTTTGACCTAGGTTTCCAGGTCAACCACCTGGCTCACTTCCTGCTTACCCACCTGCTCCTGGACAGGCTAAAGCGCTGCGCTCCGAGCCGGGTTGTATTCATGTCCTCGAGTGCGCACTCCTCTGGAAAAATCGACTTTCAGACCATCCACAAACCAGTGGAGGGTATGTGGCAGGCCCTACAATCGTACAGCAACAGCAAACTAGCCAACATTCTCCACACGCTAGAGTTGGCCAACCGGCTGGAAGGAACCAATGTCACCTGCTATGTGGTTCATCCAGGTGAGTGAAAGTCTGGCTTCAAGAAGCCCAAGATGGAGCCCCCCCAGGTCCTGCTGGTGCTCTGCCAGGCATTCCTCTCCCACTGGGGGCTCCCTTGATCCCCTCTGCAGAGCCACCCCGGGAGTTTCCTCCATTGGGCTCAGCTGCGGAGGAAGATCTCTCTCACCCTCCCAGGTCCAGAGCTAATAGAATCCTAAAATCTTAAGAGTGGGATGGGCTGTTGGAGGTCTTCTAGACCAACCCACTGCCTAAAGCAAGGATAAGGCTTTCCCCCTCCTCTTCCGCTTCCTCTTCACTTTCCCTTCTCTTCCTCTCCCCTCCTCCCTCCCTCTTTCTCGTCCTTCACTCTTCCTCCTCCTCCTCCTCCTCCTGCCATTCAATTCCTGTTCCTCTGCTGCCCTCCCCCTCTTGTTCCTCTGCTGCCTCCCCCTCTTGTCTCCCCCTTTGCTTCCATTTACCTTTCCTCCTCCTCTTCCTCCTTCTCCTCCTCCCCTTCCTCTTCTTCTCTTCCTTCTTCCCCATCCACCTTATTCTACTCCTCCTTCCTTCTCCTCTTCCTCCTCTCTGCAAACCCCCCTCTCTTCTAGCACTGATGACGTTCCCCAATTGAGTCACGAAATGTCTGTGTCATGGTTCCGAAAGATGAAACCAATTAAAAGAACTTCAAGGCAAAGATTTCCTCCTTAAAGAACATTTTATTCAGGAAACAAAGTATGGGCACTTACACAGTTGAACCCAAGACTGAAGTTCCCTCCCCCAGATACAAAGTAACACATTTGTAATTCCCACCCCAGAAAGGCTGTCATAAATCACATTCACCAATTATTCTAAAACACAGGCTCTCCTCTCAACTTCTCAACCCCCAAAAACTTTATCTAACATTGACCTTAAGTTCACACACAGCTGCAATTATTATGGCTCACAAACACACACACACACACACACACACACACACACAGAAACCCCACTGGCATCCTCACCCACTCAGCTTGAGCTCTTGGTCTTCTGAGACATTTCCCATGTTGCCCAAAGGGTGCCAAGCGTCCCATGGTTCCCGGTGGGAAACTGTGCGAAGAGTTCATACGGGATCTCCCTCCCTCCCCCTCTTTGGGTAATTTTCCATCCACGGACTGTTCTCTCTGCCTTTGATTTCAGGAATTGTTAAAACCGAAATTGGTCGCTCCTGTCCCCATTGGCTCCCTTGGTTGCTTTGGTTCATGAAGCTGTTCTTCCGAGACAGTGACTCTGGGGCCCAGACCACCATCTACTGCGCCACCGAGGAGGGCATCGAGAGGCTGAGCGGGCGATATTTTGTGGATTGCCAGCCGAAAGTGCCCAGTCCACAGGCCCGCGATGACCAGCTGGCCAAGAAGCTCTGGGAATTCAGCGAGAGGCTGCTGGGACTGACCAGCTAAATTTGTCCACTTTAAATTTCTCCCCATAATTTTTTCTGAGGTGAAGGTAGGAAAACTCACACAGAAAAGCGCGCACAAAATCACACCAAAGCACCTGGATAATTAGCACAGGGGCCCCTCTTGGGCTGTGTACTTTCTCCATGGCACTTCTCTGTCTCTGTAGAAATGACTGCCACTTGAAGGATCCCTCTGTTAAAGAGCAGGTTGTCCTCGACTTACGACCACAGTTGAGCCCAAAGCCTCTGTTGTTAAGTGAGACATTTGTTAAGTGAGTTTTGCCCCATTTTACAAGCTTCGTTGTCTCAGTTGTTAAGTGAATCGCTGCGGTTGGTAAGTTACTAACAAGCTTATAAAGCCTTGTCTTTGCTTGCCGGAAGGTCGTCAAAGGGGATCACATGACCTTGGGACACAGCAGCGGTCATAAATGCGAGTCGGTTGCCAAGTGTCTGAATTTGGCTCATGTGAGCGTGGGGATGCTGCAACGGTTGTAAGTGTGAAAAGGGATCACAAGTCACTTTTTTCTGGGCCGTCGTAACTCTGAACAGTCACTAAATGAAGTAAGTTGAGGACTGCCTGCATTGAAGTTTGCAGATGAGACAAGAGTCGGGGGTCTCATTCGAAACGGTGATGAGTCTGCATACAGACAGTAGATTGAACGATGGGCTCTGGGGTGCAGCTGGAACAATATGGACTAGAACCCTCTGAAAACTGAAGAGATGATGGTAGATTTTAGGTGGAGCCTTCCTATTCTGCCACCTCTGGCAATGTTAGACAACGCAGGATCAATAGTCGAGATCTTCAGGCTTCACGGTTATAGGACCATGGTGGCGAACCTTTGGCACGCATGCCACCCGAGCCATCTCTCGGCACACGCGCCATCGCCCCAGTCCTAGGCCTTCCGTCTCGTTCATGAGCAACCTGCATCAATACCTGCACAGGGTAAGGTTGCCGCACCCGCACCCTCCTCCCCTAGTGTTTTTTTTTTTTTTTTTTGCTAACCTGCCTTCCAGCTGCATTCCGTTTCTCCGTTCACTTCTCAGCCTTCGCCGCGTGTTTGTGGGACTATGGGTAAAAAAAAAAATCCATCAGACTTTCTAACTTCTCGTGAGATCTCAAGAAGTTATAAAGTCTGATGGAACTTGTTTTTTTTTTTACCCATAGTCCCACAAACACGCGGCGAAGGGTGAAAAGCAAATGGAGACACGGAATGCAGCTGAAAGGCAGGTTAGTTTAAAAAATGCTTGGGGAAGTAGAGGGCATCTGGGCGAGGGCGGGTGTGGCAATCTTACCCTGCATGGTGGTGGGAGGGTGGAGCATGTGCCCTTCCCTTGCCAAGCCAGTCCCTGCAGCCCTGGGTGGCCATGCTGGGCAGCAGTGGGCAGGGTGTTGAGGTGGGGGCCGGCAGGCCAACCAAAGCAGCAGGTGGAGCGCCAGAGGCTCAGGGAGGGGAGGGCGCTGAAGTGGGCGGTCAGGCCATTTGCTGCCTCGCACGTCACAGCTGTTTGCCTCCGGCCGCGGCTATTTGCCGCCTTGCACGTGATGGCTGTTTGCCTCCAGCCACAGCCATTTGCTGCCTTGCGCGTTGCACCCAATGCCGCTGCCATGAGGCGCCACCCTGCTTGTTCCTTACCTCCGCCCGGCTTGTTCCATGGTGTCATGGTAGCGGCATTGGATGCGACATGCGAGGTGGCAAATAGCTACGTCGTGCCGAAACTGAGAGGCCAGCAGGCTGTGGCTGCTAATGAACTCAGTTGGGCCCCATGTGCTCACTGTGTGGGGGGGCCAATGGTGTCAGGTAGCAGCCGCCCCGGCCCCTACCTCGCCTTGCCTTGCCCTGCGATAATGGCACCCCTGCCCTGCCCCCTGATTCGCCTCACCCTGCAGGATGAGCCTCCTGCCCACCATCCCACCCACCAGAGAACCCCTGGATCTCCCCCAACCCTGCCTGGCCCCCACAGGCGTCCTTCCCCTTGAGCAGCATCGAAGTGGCCACACCCACACCAGCCACACTCACCCAGTCTGCCGTGAGCACCACAGCCACACACACCCAATGGGCCACGCCCATCTGGCACCCAACAATACATAAGTGGGTTTTGGGTTGCAGTTTGGGCCCTCGGTCTCTAAAAGGTTCACCATCACTGTTCTACGATCTCCCAGAACTTGAAATGAGCACCTGACATTAAAGCCACCATTAAAAAGGCACCACAAAGAATGTTTTTCCTCTGTCGGCTCAGGAAGTCCAGACTGCCCCAGGAGCTGTGGTTACAGGTAACAGAATGACAGAGCTGGAAGGGGCCTCGGAGGTCATCTAGTCCAACCCGCTGCTCAAGCAGAAGACCCTACACCATTTCAGACAAAAGGGCGTCCAATCTCTTCTTAAAAACCTCCAGGGATGGAGCACCCACAACTTCTGGGTTCTACAGAGGAATTATTGAGTCTGTCATTTGTACTTCAATAATTGTCTGCTTTGGTACAGCGGCCAAAGGGGACAAGTATGGACTTCAACGGATACTTAGGAATGCAGGGGGAAACAAACCCATTGCAATCATCGTGCCTTCCATTGAAGACCTGCATATTGAGCGGGTCAGAAGGATAGCTGAGTAAATATCTACACACTCCTCACATCCTGGACACAAACTGTTGCAACTCCGCCCCTCCGGATGACGCTACAGGACAGTGCGTGCCAAAACAACCAGACAGGGGGACAGTTTTTTCCCTCCTGCCCTCACTCTGTTGAACAGCTAATCCTCACAATACTGTTTAATGTTTGTGTCTATTTACCCATGTTGTACAATTGTACTATTATCTTTCTTATTACCTTCTTTACTCCTCCTCCCCCTCTTATTGGTGTCATTATGATTATTATCACTCTGTTATTTTGCACGTACACTGAGAGCTTCTGCACCGGAGACACTTCCCTTGTGTGTCTCATCACGCTTAGCCAAATAAAGCATTCCATCTTCTTAAGACGAAAAAAGACAGTGGTGTAATTTGGGGTAAACGAAAGCAGGCTTCTGATCACAAGTAGCCCTCAACTTACAATCATTCGTTTAGTGACTGCTCAAAGTTACAATACCACTGAAAAAAGTGATTTACTGCTGTTTTTTGCACTTAATGATCGTTGCAGCATCCCTGTGGTCACGTAATCAAAATTCGGACACTTGGCAACTGCGGTGTACTTATTTATTCGGAAAATTTGTATTGTATTGCCACCTACTTGCTCACAGGCGACTCGAGGAGGCTTACAGGAAATGAAAACACAATATCAAGGAAATAAAAATAATAAAACTAATAAAATAATCACCCCCCCCCCACTTCTTCCACCACGCAATCCCAGGAACAACACACCAGCCATTTAATGGGCTCCATCCCACTCTGGGTTCCCCAGACCCGCTGGCAGAACCAGGGACTTCCAAACGAGGGTAAAGTGAGGGGGGGTGGTCTAATTTCCCGAGACATGATGTTCCAGAGGGAGGGAGCCACCAAGGAGAAGGCCCTTCTTCTGGGTCTTTAAGGGACAGGATCCCTCAACATTCCTTGCCTCCCCACTCTAGTGGGTCAGGCGGATGTGACTGGCAAGAGACAGTGCCTCAGATAATCTGGTCCAAGCCATGAAGGGCTTTAAAGGTGACAACCACACCTTAAACATCCACCTCCACTATAAAGAGTTGTTTTCACCACCCAGCTGTTCCAAATTCTTATCTTTTTTGAAAGTGCCAAGGACAAATCTTAGTCTCACAGGTCTCGCAGACAAAAAGAAATAGACTTGCTATAGCAGGTTTCGCCAGAAGATGTCCCCGATAGCATGTAAAGTCTTTTTCCAAACTCAAGTGAGGCTTTTATCCAATTTAAAAAAAAATTCAATTTAACAGATAGATAAGGTAATAGGTCCCCATAGAAACAGGAACTTTTGGGGGCCCCAAATATCCAAAAGTGCAAGTCCAGGTATTTAGATGTTTAGATTAGTTGTTCTTTTCTTTTTTTTCCAGGCTTTGCATTCCCAAAGTAGGCAGACGCCGCCCAGTTAAAGGGGGGAAGAAATTTTCAAAAGGCTTTTACAGGAGAATAGTTGGGATATAGGAAAGGTAAGGTAAAGTCTCACCCAATTCCTCAGCGGTGCTTTTGTTGTGCTTGGTAGTGCTTTTGGCTTTTGGCTGGTACGATTTAGTGATCGGCCATGTTGATGGCCGATCTTTTCTTTGTCGGTCCAAAGGAGCTGCCTCAGATCAAACGGAAGGGCCCTTCCACAATCTATCAAGGGTCCTCTTCACGGTGGTCACCCCTCCAGGGTGACTTTCGACCCTTTTCAGGGTCTTCCGACAAAGGGAAACCAGACGGAACAGAGAGCACACTCTCTGCGCTTCTGCTGGAGCCGCGATTGCAAACCAGAAGCCTTTTATCAAAAATAGGCTCCACTAAAAGACTATCTGTAAACACCACAGAAATGGAAGAATACTACCCACAACTTAACTACAAACTTATACTTGAAAAAATCCTTGAGGCTACTGAGCTAATGAACTCCAGACTGAAAGATAAAGGTGTCACCTTAAATTTACAAAATGCAGCCCAGATTGCAGCTGATGAACTTACAATTCAAAAAGCAACAGAAGAGGAAGAAATTAACATCAAAGTGGATTTTAAAGAATACCAGGCACAATCTACCCAAAACTTTGATAATTAAACCTTGATCTCAACTAAAAAATCTGCAACTCAAAAAGCAACAGAAACTGAAGAAAGCAACAGATGGAGGTGCTGAAGACCAATATGCACAACACATCGAGAACCTAGACAACCTAGGAAACCAAACAACAATTACAACATTGAATATGACTTCTTACTTAAGCCAGATGAAACCGGAAGAAGAAGAAGACCAGACAAAGCACCTGAAGGTGAAGACAAGGAATAATGGATGGAAACTGATCAAGGAGAGATTCAACCTAGAAATAAAGAGAAATTTTCTGACAGTGAGAACAATCAAACAATGGAACAAATTGCCTTCAGAAGCTGTGGAAGTTTCACAACCGTAAGCTTTTAAAAATGACTGGACTGCCATTCTATTCTATTCTATTCTATTCTATTCTATTCTATTCTATTCTATTCTATTCCATTCCATTCCATTCCATTCTATTCTATTCTGTTCTTATCATTACTCTAGTTCTATTCCATTCCATTCTATTCTTCTTATCATTACTCTACTCCTGTCCTGTCCTGTCCTGTCCTGTCCTATACTATACTATACTATACTATACTATACTATACTATACTATACTATACTATACTATACTATACTATACTATACTATACTATACTATACTATACTATACTATACAGGCCATCCAACCAAACAGAGGAAATAGATGAACTTTTTGTTAGTCAGTTAACTAAGGTATGTAGGAAGCACATCACAATAGTAATGGGGGACGTTAATTACCCTGACATCAACTGAGAGACAAATTCTGCACCAAGTGGAAGATCAAACAGGTTCCTGACTAACCTAGCAGACAATTCTCTCTTCTCAAAAGTAGAGAAGGGAACCAATGGATCAGCCATACTAACAGAGATGAAATGATAGAAGGGGTTCAAGCCACAGGAACCTGGGGGGGGGGAGTGATCATGCAATATTGGAATTCAACATTATGCAAGCACAAGCAATAGAATATAGTTAAACTAGAGTCTTTGACTTTTAAGAGAGCTGATTTCAATAAACTTAGAGAGAGCTTGGGAAGGATTCCATGGATGAGAATTCTCAAGGTAAAAACAACCCAAGAAGGTTGGGAAACTTTGAAAAGTGAGATTCTAAAAGCCCAGTCTAGCACAATACCAGCAAAGAAGAAAAATAACAGCTCTCAAAAGAAACCAGCCTGGTTGCATAAAGAAGTGTCTGATAATGAAGCAATGAATCTGCAAACAGCTAGAAGCAAACAAAGTCATAACCAAAAGTCAACACAGGTTTGTCGAAACCAGATCATGCCAGACAAAACCTATTGCTAGAAGACCTCCAAAGTCCCACCCAACTGTTAGTCTGTTCCCTTCTGTTTTTCTATTCTAGCCCCCTGCTCAGAGAGGAGACCCTATACCCATTCCAGACAAATGGCTGTCCAGTCTCCTCTTAAAAGCCTCCAGGGATGGAGCACCCACAACTTCTGGAGGGAAGCCTTTAATCTGGTTAAGTGTTCTCACTAGCAGGAAATGCCTCCTTTGATCTCCCTGAGGATCCCTCCCTCCCTCCTTCCTTCCTTCCTTCCTTCCTTCCTTCCTTCCTTCCTTCCTTCCTTCCTTCCTTCCTTCCCATTCCAGACAAATGGCTGTCCAGTCTCTCCTTAAAAATCTCCAGGGATGGAGCACCCACAACTTCTGGAGGGAAGCCTTTAATCTGGTTAAGTGTTCTCACTAGCAGGAAATGCCTCCTTAGATCTCCCTCTGAGGATCCCTCCCTCCTTCCTTCCTCCCCTCCCTCCTTCCCTCCCTCCCTCCCTCCCTCCCTCCCCTCTTTCCTTTTTTTCTTTCTTTCCTCCCTCCCTCCGTCCCTTCGTAGCTCAAGAGGGGAAGAAGGGAGCGCAAGAGATTGGCAGCGCTGCCCATGGCCGTGGCTTTCCCATGCAGGGAGGAGTGGGAGGTGGGAGGCGGGCTGAGGGCGGGGATCATCCCGGTAAAAATGAAGCACTCACGGGCTGCGGGGAAAGGTAGCGGGACCGGGCAGGCGAGTGGGCCATGGAGGCGCCGGCGATGCTGGCGGCAGGTGCGGCGCTCCTGCTGGGGCTCTACGCGCTGCTCTACTACCACTTTGTGGCGGCCACGCGGTGCCGGAACGCGGTCAGCCTGCGGGGCAAGACGGTTCTCATCACAGGTAGCTCCGGGGGCTGCTGTGCTCCCATCCGTGGCGGGGGGGCGTCGAGGCTGGGGGGCGTCGCTTTTCTTTCTTATTAAATAAACCCCCCACCCCGACCTCAGTGGCTCCAGGCAGGATCCAACTCCCGGAATCAAAGCGCCGCTCGGAGGTCAAAGTGAAATGCGGGTCGCAGGTTAACCATAAACCAGGTTCTCCCCCATCCAGGTGGACCCAAAGGTTCCTTTGACCAAACCGGGAAAGTCCATCAGAAAAACCACCTTTGGAATAAAGCAGGGGGTAGTGATGGGAGTAGAGTAGAGTAGAGTAGAGTAGGAAGGGACCTTGGAGGTCTTCTAGTCCAGCCCCCTGCTCAAGCAGGAGAACCTATAGCAGGATTTTCATGCCTAAGGCAGGACTAGAACTCACGGCCAGAGTCACCCAGCTGGCTTTCGTGCCTAAGGCGATTGGTGATTGGCTTGAGTCACCCAGCCGGAGTAGAATTTATCGTTTCCTGGTTTCCACTCTAGACAATTTTCCCTCTCTGAAACTCGCAAAATGTATATTGTATATGAAGTGAACAGGTTGAAGAGAAATCTGAGATTGTGGTTGGATGGAATTGATCCCATCCTGAAAAAGAACGAGGTCATTTTAAAGAATAAAAGGCAAGAGAAGAAATGGATTCTTTGCCAAGAAAGAAACGCAAAGAGAGACCGGGTACATAGTTATTGTTTTAGCTCTGTTTCCTTCCTTCCTTCCTTCCTTCCTTCCTTCCTTCCTTCCTTCCTTCCTTCCTTCCTTCCTCCCTCCCTCCCTCCCTCCCTCCCTCCCTCCCTGCACTTTTTTTAAATGTTTTATTGATGTTCTAATTTTACATTTAAGTATTTAAAAAGCAATGGGGCGGCTGAGTTAATCGATAATTCAATGACATACAAGTATCTTTAGGCCAAGTCTCAAACTACTACATTAAATATTTCCTCTCTTTTTCCTTAGTATTTACTGTCACATGTTTAAACTAATACAGTTCTTATTATATCAATTAAATAAAAATAACATTCTTACATTTATCAATATTTTTAGCTTATACATATCCTGCTATTATTTTAGCATTCGGTCTTTATAGACAATCAATGTCCTAATTAGTTTTTTCCCAATTTTTAGTTTCCCATTAATATTTAAATTTAACATTTAATATTTATAATTTCCAAGTTTTAAGTAACCAAAGTTCCCTTTATCACAATTCATCAGGAAGTCTAATATTCAGGATACGCGTCTTATCTATTTAAATATATTCTATTTCTCACCATCTTACATCATCTAATTAATAATACAGTATAACATTCTTATTTTCTATTAATTTCCAAATATCTTGAATTTAGTAACCAAAATTTCTCTTGTTTCAACATCAAATACTTCTTCTCTTTTTCTCTTAATGTCTACTATCTCATATGTAAGCTAGTACAGTTCTTATTATATCAGCTAAGTAAAAACATGTTTGTTACATTTATCAATAAATTTTTAGCTTAATTACTTTTATATTCAACCTTTATAAATAAATCAATATTCAAATGTAACTTTTAATATTCACACTTCCAAGTTTTAAATGACCAAAATTTTCTTTATCTCAGTTCATAACAGAATCTAGTATTCAAAGTACACATCTTGTCTATTTGAGTGTATTCAATTTTGGTCCTCACTATTAAGTCAAAACCCCCATTTTCTTCAGCCTTATTCTAGCTTTCTTTTTTTGCCGACTCGCCTTCCATATCCGTGCTTTTAAATCATCAAATAGATCTCCCTCTGTTATTATATATATTGTTTGAGATAAAAGAGGCCATCCAGTCGCCATTTTTTTGGAAGGGCTAACAAATCGTCTCTCTATTTTTCCATCTCAACAAAGTTGTCCTGAAATGTTTATCTTCCCTTCAATCTGTTCTTCTTCTTGATCCTCAGGTTTCTTCTGCTTTATATAGAGCAGTGGTTCTCAACCTTTTTAATGCTGCGACCCCCAACTGGTCATAAGTCGAGGACTACCCAACTGGTCATAAGTCAAGGACTACCCAACCAGTTGTAAGTTGAGGACTTTCCCTGCCGGGGAGCGCCGCGCATGTGTGGTGCCGCCCCCTGCGCCGGCCGAGGCGTAGCTGGCAAGCAGCAGCGACGGCGCAGGCCGAACACCGGCTGGGCTACCAGCTGACCCAGCCCAAGGGAGGTAAGGCACCCACCGGGCCCCACGCGTGCCAGCAACCCTCCCTGTGCCTGCCGGCCTCTCACCTCCCACCCCTGGCCCTCTTACTTACATTTTTAGTAGTTGCTCAGGAGGGAGGGGTGGAAACTTCTAGACAGCTCATCTTCACTGCAGACAACTTGCAGCACCGTTTGCAGAATGGGACTTTTGGCGGGCTCAGCAGGGCAGAGACAGCCTGGACAATTCCTATTGGCTTTGGAAAGCCAATAGAATTAGACTCTATTCAAGAGAGTCTATTCTATTGGCTTTCAAAAGCCAATAGAATAAAAGGGAGTAGCACAGCTAAGGAAAAGGGGGGGAAATGGCAGACGGCGTTGTTTGGCGACCCCCGTGAAATGGTCGTTCGACCCCAAATGGGGTCCCGACCCACAGGTTGAGAACCGCTGATATAGAGAGTCTTTTCCATTTTCAGTATTGTCAGTCCCTTTTCTGGGTTTTCCATTTCACCCAGTCCTTCCTCTCTTTTGGTCAACTGGGACCAAATTTCTGAGAGATCCTGAAACTGAGCACCAGGAACTTGCCCCTCTTCCAAGTAGCCATTGGAACAGAACTACAGGTAGTCCTCAACTTATGACCAAAATTGAGCCCAAAATTTCCATGGCTATGCAAGAGAGTTGTTAAGTGAGTTTTGCCCCATTTTATGACCTTTCCTGCTACAGTTGTTAAGTGAATCATTGCTGTTAAATTAGTAACACAGTTGTTAAGTGACTCTGGCTTCCCCCGTTGACTTCGCTCATCAATAGGTTGCACAAGGGGATCATGTGACCCCAGGACACTGCGACCATCATAAATATGAGTCAGTTGCCAAGCATCTGAATTTTTATCATGGACCACTGGGCTGCAATGTTCATAAGTGTGAAAAACAGTCATAAGTCACTTTTTTCTGTGCCATCGGTCATTAAATGAATCAAGCTATTTTCCAAAGCACCTGAAGGCAGGACAAGAAGCAACGGGTGGAAACTAATCAAGGAGAGAAGCAACCTAGAACTAAGGAGAAACTTCCTGACAGTGAGAAGAATTAATCAGTGGAGCCACCTGCCTCCAGAAGCTGTGAAAGCTCCAACACTGCAAGTTTTTAAGAAGAGACCGGACAGCCATTTGTCTGAAATGGTGTAGGGTTTCCTGCCTGAGCAGGGGGTTGGACTAGATGACTTCCAAGGTCCCTTCCAACTTTACTATTATTATTATTATTGTAAGTCGAGGAATATCTGTAGTATTTCCACAGTCCGCAGGAATAGGTAAGTTTTAACTTAAAACTGTTTTACAGTCTTCCAATTGGCTTTGTTTATGCCCTGCTAAGTAACTCTATTTGTCCCCAGATCAGAGTGAGAAAAGACGATTAGTTAGTTCCTCTCATCCATGCATTAATGCATGTTTGGCCTTCAAATCCTTTTGTAACTTGTGTTAGTAAAGTGACAGCCTGCAGAGCAAATATTGGGAGACCTGCGCCATCTTCTGGTCTGACAGAAGCTTTGCATCCAATTTTTTGAAATGCCTTTCATTTTTTAAATTTTTTTACTACTAAACTTATTTGCCACCCATATCACTACAAAGTGGCCCTTTCAAAGACCCAGTGCTTTTTCATTAAAAAAAAAAAGGTGCCGGAACTCACACATATCATCCACCCGCCTTGCCTACCCTACAAGGTTCCATCCAAAAAAGGTGCCAGAACTCCGTTCTGGGCAATCTATGAGAAAAAAAGCCCTGCAAAGACCTAAAGGTACTCCAGGCATCTCAGTCAGGAATGTTGAACTGTACTTCAACCATCCCATGGATTGTTGTATGTCAAAATTGGGTAAAAACCACACAACAGGAAAAAATATGTGTTCAATTTTCATATGTTTGAAATATTAGAACCCTGTGAAAAAATTTCAGTGCTGTTGTACCTTCAAACTAAAATAATGGTTGTAAGTCGAGGTCTATTTGTATTATCTCTGAATAATTTTAAACTATTCTTTTTTGTTGATATGAGACTTCTCTGAAAGAGTTGTGAAAATCATACCCTCTGCCAGGGTTTCTCAACTTTAAGATGCTTTTAATTCTGGGAGTTGAAGTCCACCCGTCTTAAAGTTGCCAAGATTGAGAAACACTGCCACACAAGTGCTTCACTGCGTGACATCACAAAAACTGCAGGCACACAAATGCAGGCCCGGCTCCTAGGTCCCCATCAACGGCTGGGCGATCTCAGTGAATCCTCCTTTCTCTGGTCTTTCCCAGGTGCAAATACAGGGATCAGGAAGGCCACAGCAGTGGATCTGGCCCGGAGAGGCGCCCGTGTCATTCTGGCATGCCGCGACAAAGCAAGAGGAGAATCGGCTGTGTGTGACATCAGACGGGTAAGCGCCTGCCGTGCGGTTCTCTCCTTCCCTCCGTTCTTCAGCACTCAGGTCTTTTCCTGATGGATTTTATTCATTTATTTAGCATATGACATCTACAGAGTTCATGCAATCCCTTATATGCAATGCAGATAAAATGCACTATACAGGCAGATGCAAATGTAAGTTTAAAGTATGAACAAATATGTGTACATCAAATAAGTGGCCAGTACAATAAATATAAAATATTAAGTTAAAGTAAAAACCATGATAAAATCACCATAATATGGCACTATAGAGTCACAATGGGAGAGATGTTATACAGGTAGTCCTTGATTTACAATAGTTAATTTAGTGGCTGTTCAAAGTTTGAAGGCACTTATGACCATTTTTCACACTTAACGACCATTGCAGCATGGTCACACGACCAAAATTAAGATGCTTGGCAACTGACTCACACGTGTGACGGTTGCAATGTCCCAGTGTTGTGCAATCCCCTTTTGAGACATTCTGACAGGCAAAAACAATGGAGAAGGCATATTAGTAACCATGTTACCAATTTAACAACCACAGTGATTCACTTAACAACTGTGGCAATTAAGGTCATAAAATAGGACAAAATTCACTTAACAACTGTCTCACTAAGCAACAGAAATGTTGGACTCAATTGTAGCTATAAGTCAAGGACTACCTGTGTATTTAATAGGTGGACACTACAATAGATGAGATAAAATATTAAAATAGGGTAAAACCATGTACAACGGCACTGAAAAAAGTGACTTGTGACCCTTTTTCACACTTATGACCATTGCAGCATCCCTGGGGTCAGGTGATTAAAATTCAGACACTTGGCAAGTGACTCATATTTATGATGGTCGCACCATCCTGGGGTCATGCAATCATCTTTTGCGACCTCTGACAAACAGAGTCAGGGGGGAAGCCAGATTCACTTAACAACCGTGTAATTAATTTAACAACTGTGGTGATTCATTTAACAACTGTGGCAAAAAGTTCATAAAAATTGACTTAACAGCTGTCTCCCTTAGCAACAGAAATGTGGGGCTCAGTTGTGGTCATAAGCCACGGGCTACCTGTATATTTAATAAGTGAACAATACAATAGAAGAGATAAAATATTAAGTTAAGGTAAAACCATGATAAAATCACCATAATATAACGCCATAGAGTCAGAATGGGATGTTATAATTCGATATCTAAGGAAGCTAACCATTTATCTTGTGTTCTTTCTGAATGATGACAAAGATAATTCACACACACACACACACACACATTTACAGCAATCTTTGTCATCATCCAGAATATCTGTGATATTCCTGTATTCCGACTATCTTGTGTTCTTTCTCTCTGGATAATGACAAAAATTGCTGAATATATATATATATATATATATATATATATATATATATATATATATATATATATTCAAGAATATTGGTAAAAATACGACTCCCAGGCATAATTATAAACAAACAATGGGAGGGAACGTATGTAAGGAAGACTGAGGTGGGGAATAAAGACTTGATTGTTGAGGCATACCATACCCGGATAGGAGCTGTTAACATGACAAAGGAGGAGAGAGATACACAATTGGGAAGGGATATTAACCCACAGTTAGTGGAGACCTATCCCCATTGTAAAACACAAGAAAACATCAGATCAAGTCCTCCCCCCATACGGCAGACGTTGGTATTATCGGAAGAGGAGGGGATGTAAGGTTACTAACGCCCCTAAAGACCAATAGTGGAGGGATAGGGAAGGGCATCCGAAGAAAAGAACATAACGTTATAGACACATCTTGGCTTTCAGCTGGCCAATCAGGGCCAGTAACACGGTCTAAGGGCCGTGCGCAAACGTTACTTGAACCTACTTAAACCACCTTTATTGCAATGGCCTTTTAGCCCTGATGATGCTGGGGAGTTCCCCCAGCGAAAGCTTGGCAACTTTTTAGTATTAATATATTTTTAGTAAAGTATTTTTACTTCAACTCTCCCGGTGATCGTGTTTTATTCTTTTATATATATGTTTTCTGAGGTTTTCGCGGGTGTTTGTATGTAGGTCTTTGGTTGTTCGGGTTTTCTCCCGCGTAAAATTGGAAGTGTCTTGGGAGCGACTGCAAAGTTGAATCCTTTGGAAAGGACATTGGTTTCGGCTTTGGTGAGGATTCTATCTGAGATGTTATGCACTGTTTGTTTCATGTGTGGCTGTGAGGGAGGAGGGGTTTGTTTCTGGCTGCCGTTGTTCAGAATGCCAGAAACAAACCCCTCCTCCCTCACAGCCACACATGAAACAAACAGTGCATAACATCTCAGATAGGATCCTCACCAAAGCCGAAACCAATGTCCTTTCCAAAGGATTCAACTTTGCAGTCGCTCCCAAACACATCCCCACTGAAACCATTATATGCGGAGTTGAAACCAGCCTGACCAAAATCAACCCCGACGACGCTAACAGAATCAGACTCGAAATCACCAACATCCTCTGCACCAGCAAGCCACCCAAAAGCAGCTTACCCAAAGAGAAACAGACAGCACTACTTAACCTGAAAGAAGACACCAGCATAATAATCCTACCAGCAGACAAGGGCAACGCCACGGTGGTTATGAACACATCTGACTACCAAACCAAATTAACCAACCTACTCCAAGACTCCACATACAAACCCCTAAATACAGATCCCACCACCTACCTGGAAAAAACCACCAGATCCAAAATAAAAGCCTCCCCCATTAGCGAAGAGATCCAGCAAAGAATCATTCCCAGAGAGAAATCATCCAGATGCCCCAAACTCTATGGTCTCCCCAAGATACACAAAGAAGGAACCCCACTCAGACCTATAGTCAGCTCCATAGGCTCACCTCTACAAAACCTATCCAAATTTCTCGCCAAACAACTACAGTCCTATGCAGAATCCATCACCTCACACGTAAAAAACTCATTCCAGTTTATAGAGATCATAAAGAAACAAAACTTACAGCCCAGCGACCTACTCGTGAGCTTCGGTGTCATATCCCTCTTCACCCAAGTGCCTATCAAAGAAGCCTTGACAGCTATCCAAAACAAATATAACCCCCCCAAACACATCTTAGATCTGACCAACCACTGCCTATCCAACACATACTTCATCTATAATGGACAAAAATACAAACAAACAGAAGGAGCACCCATGGGATCACCCCTCTCACCTGTCATTGCCAACCTCTACATGGAACACTTTGAAACCCAAGCTCTAGAAAAATCGGATCACAAACCCAAACTCTGGCTCAGATACGTAGACGACACCTTCATAATCTGGCCACATGGGAAAGAAAAACTGGACAACTTCCTCACACACCTCAACAGCCTACACCCCAAAATACAGTTCACCATGGAAACAGAAGCTAACAACCAACTTCCCTTCCTGGATGTCTTAGTCTACAAGAAATCCAATGGCTCCCTAGGACACACCATCTACCAGAAGAAAACACACACAAACCGCTATCTGCACGCTCTCTCACACCACCACCCAGCACAGATCAACTCCGTAGCCAAGACACTCATCTCCAGAACAAAACGCTTAGCTGACGAACAACACCTAAAACCGAACTACACACTCTCACCAATGTACTAACATCCAATGGATTCCATAGAAATAAGATTACAAACCTAATCCAAAAAGAAACCCCCACTAAAATCCAAGACAAAGAACAAGAAAACGGCAAAGCCCTCCTCCCATACATAAAAGGCACCACAGACAGAATCAGTAAGATCCTCCATAAACACAACATCAAAACAGCATTCTGCACAAACAGAAAAATATCCACCATCCTTAGAAACCCCAAAGATAAAATTGAATTAGAAAATCAAGGAGTATACGAAATCCCATGCACCACTTGTCCCACCACATACATCGGACAAACCAACAGAAGAATAAGTGCACGCATTGAAGAACATAAGAACTCAGTCAAAAAAGAGGAACCAACATCTTCCCTGGTCCAACACCTTAAAGCCACAGGACATGAAATTGACTTTAAAAATACCAGAACCATTGCCAAAAGTGAACATTTTAATAACAGAATAATCAGAGAAGCCATCGAGATAGAAAAACGCCCACACAGCATGAACAAGCGAGATGATACCTCCCGCCTACCAGCCATTTGGAAACCCGCCCTTATTGACAAACGACTCCCTAACACAAAAAATGATACCAGACCCACACTCACAAAAACCACACAGGATGTCACCACCACACATCCACGCAAAAAACAAACCCAAAGCCACACCGATGATGAGGCACGACCACAAACCAGAAGCCAGACCACAGCTGCATCATTAGCCACTTTAAACCCCTCCAATCCATACATGAAGCAAACTGACACCCTCCATGAAGATGAGGCACGACCACGAACGCGAAGCCAAAAAATAGCAAGGCAGCCCAAAATCTTAAACCCCCCTGCAACTCAGACTAACCTGAGCACAACCAAACAGAACACTCCCCCAGCCAATCAGAGCACAGCCAACCCCCCAGCCAATCAGAGCACAGCCAAGCCCCTAACCAATCAGAACACACCTCCACCCAATCAGAACACAGCCAAGCTCCCACCCAATCAGTTCATACCCCCACTGGCAGTTAAAAGGAAGAAACAGCTAAGACCACACATTGCTGCTCGAAGCACGAAGCTGAAAACACCAGCCTGAAGATGACGAATGGGACTTCGTCGAAACGTCGCCAAGACACTTCCAATTTTACGCGGGAGAAAACCCGAACAACCAAAGACCTATATACAAATACCCGCGAAAACCTCAGAAAACATATAATATATATATATATATATATATAATAATATATATATATATATATATATATATTATATATATATATATATATATGTCATATTAGTAAAGTTGTTGAAAGGGACCTTGGAGGTCATCTAGTCCAACCCCCTGCTCGGGCAGGAAACCCTCCACCATTTCGGACAAATGGCTGTCCAGTCTCTTCTTAAAAACTTCCAGTGTTGGAGCATTTACTGCTTCTGGAGGCAAGCTGTTCCACTGATTAATTGTTCTCACTGTCAGGAAGTTTCTCCTTAGTTCTAGGTTGCTTCTCTCCTTGATTAGTTTCCACCCGTTGGTTCTTGTCCTGCCTTCAGGTGCTTTGGA